GAGAGCTGGTTGTTTAAAGGACCCTGGCACCTTCTCTCTCCCTCTTGCTTCCTCTCGCCATGTGATCTGCTTGTACCTGTCAGCTGCCTGCCACTTTCTGTCATGAGTAGAAGCAGCCTAAGGCCTGCACCAGACACAGCTGTCCCAGAATAGTAAGCCAAATAAATCTCTGTTCTTTATAAATTACCCAGTCTCAGGTATTCTGTTATAGCAACACAAAAACATACCAGTATAAATGTCCTGCTTTTGGAGTAGTTAAAAATAAACACCAAAGTTCTTAATAATTCCTGCTAAAGAAGAGAATGATGCTAACAAACATTACTATTTAAAAGATAGCAATTTGAGGTTTTAAAATAAGAAAAAAAATGCAAATCTAAGTTCTGGTTACATTTATAGAACTGAAGGCAGTTGTTCTTAAGCTACAGGAAGTCATACTCTACGCCCAGCTTCTCATGAAAACCACAGACCTCTCTTTGAAACCCTGTGTTTTTTACTGGTTCATGAATTACACTCCCAAACCTCCCCTACCCCTATCCCATGACTAGAGTCAAGAACTTCTGCAATTCACAGTATTAACATGGCTATAATAAAGAGGATGAAATAATAAGTGTTGGCGAGGATGTGGAGAAATTGGAACCCTCATACATTGCTAGTAGAAATGTAAAATGGTGTGGCCACTTCGGAAAACAGTTTGACAGTTCTTCCTTTAACATAGAGTTATTATATCTTCTACTTATTTTTTTCTTTTCTCAAGCTAACTTTTTAATCAGAATCTCCTCTTAAAATAAAAGGGACTCAAAGCAAATTATGTTTTACCTGACCTTAATATGGCAGTAAATTACCACACAGTCATTTGACAACAGTATCAAAAAAAAAAAAAAGAAAAAGAAAAAAAGGCTGCTTTACTCTGCTCCATCCCTGAAATACAGTAAAAAAAAAAAAAAAAAAAAAATCAATAAATATAAACCAAATGATATATTCTGCCTCCTACCACCAATAATGAGGTCAGTACTATAGCAGCAGTATTTTAGGGATGAGAAGCATGAGCTACTCAATCAGGAAGACCTAGCTTTGAATTCAGGGCCCCCTCAATTATTGTGTGATCTTGTAAAAGTCATTTAACCCTCCCTGAGCCTCCATTTTCTCTTCTGCAAGTTAAGAATTGCAATAATTGTGTTGGCAGTTAGCTCCGTTGCTTAGAGCATGGTGCTGATAACACCAAGGTCAGGGGTTCGATTGCTATACTGGCCAGTCGCCAAACAAACAAAAAAAGAATTGCAATAATTATAGGTTTGTAATGAACATTAAATAAGAATGTATGCCAATTGCTGTGCACAATGATGGCCTCATCATTAGTGCCTAATAAATGTATTTATTCTTAATCAGAAATCATTGTTATTCTTAATCATGATATTGAAGCAGCACAGGAAACATGTAAGGAAGCAACAACAGGACCATCAATGCTAGTCGTGAGACCCTGGCCCAGTCACTTCACCTCCTCGAGGTCTCAGTTAACTCATTGTCATCACTAAGATCCCTTCTGGTCATATTACAACATAGTAGCCATTTAATATGCATGTGTAACACAGCCTTAGTAGTCTTCTCTGGCATAAAATTTCAAGCTGTCTTCTTAAATGAAGTTATTATGTCCAAAATATGATAATGATACATTTTAGTATGGTGCATCAATTTCTATGTTTCAGTAGTTAAGCAGTATTTTAGTATAATCAAAAATTGTGACTAAATAAAGAAAAATAAAATATATTGTATCTTTTTTTGTTTTTATTAAAACTCTTAGGATGCAAGAATATAATGGCTTTTAGAAAATTCATGTATTATTTAAAAAATTATATACCAACCACCTTTTAATTGTTCACCTACAGATCAATTACCATAGTTGACAGCTGACATTTCAAATTTCACTGTGCTTTTATGTTTGTAAAATAAACAAAAGGTAGGAAGCAAGAAGATGTAAAAAATGGATCTAGATAACTCAAAATTGATACAGAACCTCTAAATAATTGAAAGCTAAATGGATTTAAATGGTCAAAATCAATTCCACAAGAATCTTTGCTGTGCCTATGGAATGGCCATATTTTTTAAGAAACTCATGGTGACTAAACAACCGTCTTATTTCAAATTTAACGCATAAAGCACTTTAAGTATATCTCATAGGTAATTTTAAACGTGCTCTGAACATAAAAACAAGAGGGAACATAAAACAAGTCTTTAAAATTTGAATAGACTAAAGTTTAAAGTATTCTTCTCTCTGGAATTTCATGGAATAATGATCTACATTGAGATGAACAGAACTAGTGCTGTGTATTAGTGAACAGTACATTTCCACTCCACCAATACTGGGTTTGTATTTGGTCTCATCCGATGTTTAGGCAATAGCTGAAACATTTATTCACAGCCAGTCATTTATAACACTAGGAAATCAGCCATTGAATAAACTATGCTATTTAATTTTCCATCAGAGATTCATGTTTGAATGACCATGCATTTCATAAGTCTAAATACTGAAAGGCTAATTATCCCAAAGGCCCCATTAAATGGAAAGCATAGACTGCAATCAAAAACAATCTTAATACTGCTCAAAAATGATCTTCAGCTTTCAGTGCTGAAGATGACTTCTTTTCTCTACCTATCGCACATACTAAGAGTGTAGGTTACATATATATATGTGCAATTATTTCCCCAAAAACTTAGAAAAATAAATCTGAACACTTTCTAACCCAAAAAGATCCATTATTTTATGAAATAAAATGAAAATTAAAAGCTTAACTTCCTAATATCATTAGGAAGTTAATATTGTGAATAATATTCATTTTTTTATTATTATTTTAAATGACTCATGCAATGCCCTTATATCCTTATCCTAATGGCTTCAAATTCAGAATGAGGCACACAAGAAAACATACTAATTTTTAAAATTTTTTTTAAATTGCTCATCCTGAAAAAAAATATCCTGATAATAAAAGTAGTAAGAATTGATGGGATTCACAACATGCTACTCCAGAATATGGTACCTTGGCATTTGACAAAACGGCAGAAGTAGGAAGGTCATTCTCACTTCCCCTCCCCTCTGCCCTTTTCCCCTGAAGCAGCTCATAAAACCAAGGAATAATTTTCTCATCTTTGCCTGAAGCAAGTCATAATATATCCCCATTCTAGAGATACTCTCTCTATACCCAGAGCCAAAGGCACAGAGATGCCAAGAAGAATCTGAAGAAATAGGCCTTGCTGAGTTCCCTCCAGTTTATTACTGTTAGATCATACCCACTTTGTCCAATCATACTTTCCTATAAGTGTCCACTGTTAATCAAACTTAAGCATAAAAATACACAGGTTTCCCTGTTTCTTTGGGTCTGCATTTCCAGAGGATCCCACGTCACATAAAACTTACATTCAATAAAATTGTAGGCTTTTCTCTTGTTAATGTCTTTTGTTATATAAATCTCAGCCACAAATCTAGCGATGGGTGAGAAAAAGCAATCTTTCCTCTTCTACAAAATCAACACATAATGGCCAGGTTCGCCATCTACAAATTTAAATGACTTATAGGGACCACTTATAATGTGTTCTTGTGTTGCTGAGGAGACTTGGAAAACAACAAATCTAATCAAAGTCATCAGTACACATTACCAGAATGAGAATATAACTAAAGAAAGTTAAATCTACTCAACAGTATTTTAACTCATTTGAAGTGCTAATGTGCTAACATTTATTAATCAGTATGGTCCACTGGATGGTAAAATCCTAGGGCAGGGAATGTGTTTGTTTGTTCACTAATATTTGTTGAGTAAATGAAGGAATCCATGTACAGAATTTAAAACTGGGGCAGCTGAAGAAAAACAATTTGCCAGCCAGAATTAAATGACTAAAGCCAGCACACAGAGATATCTCCACTGATTAAAATGTTTACTGCATTGTACTTCTGACAGCCTGACTAACTTCCCCACAAAGCCATCTAGTTCTTTTTGCCACGATTTTATGCTAAGTCATTTCCTAATTATAAATTAAATTCCCAGAAGGAATTATACTACCTAGAAGAATAGTTGATGTGAATATTCAGAAATGTATAAATGGACAAATTGATATTTAGTATTTACGTCAACCTAACCTCTTTAGAGTTTTGGTTTAAAAGAAGTCAGTGCCCCTATATTATGTTCAACTGTGAATAAACTGATAAGGTTTAGTTATTAGACTGCCAATCTTATAACCATTAACTTGGTTCTTGAGAGCAGATGGAATTCTTCTTTTAAAATGCTGTGATATGTGTACATATAGAATAAAGTTTTCCTTCCTTCCTCACTTCCTTTTTTTCTTGTGAAAAACAAACAAACAAAAAAACAGGGATACAGGCATCTCGCTTCTAGGATTGTTCTCTTTCATACAAAACCCATAAACATAGGAATGGTTTGCCGCTTAAAAATAAATTAGAACATGTTAGGATAAAAACTACATTGACATTGGGATTAACATTTTTACAATGAATGAGAGAGTAAGAGAGTCACAAGTATTCCATGAGCCAATAAACAGTTCTATTTTGGAACAGAAGCATATTCCAAGTAACCTGGACTACTCATTGTCTTATACGACTTTGAGTGTGACTTTGAGTGTGATTTCCAAATGACTTCCTACTCAAACATTGGCTGGCACAATGTACACATGAAATGCTTTCATATGCACCTCTATGAAGAAATTAGAGATTTATATATCGCACCCAACTCACCTCTTAGTGATGGTCAAAACACTAGCACCTCAATTCCTTCTTAGTTTGTGCTTCTCTTGTGTGACAGAGCATTGGCACTGCCAAATTTCTTTTTCACACATACTCTTTCATATGTCTTTCCATTCCCACCCTTCATGCCCTCCCTGAAATTCCTTTAGTTTAATAAGGGTACATTATCATTTCTGTATCAGATGTCCACACATGCTGTCACCAACAGAGACAATTCAACAACTTAACACATTGATAAAAACGCAGAAAGTACCTGGACATAGGCTCTGCAAGAGCGCTCTCTTTTCTGAAGCTGAATCCATTAAGACAGCAGATTAAATAGAAAAAACAAGTTAGTGACAGAAGAAAACAAGAAAAAATAAAAGAACACATCTACACAAAACACCTTATTTTGTTGTTCACTATTTTCTAGAAGAAAATGAAAGCTAAGCAGCATCAAAATGTAAGCAATGGCTTGAAAAATAGTAGCCAAACCCTTTTAGAACAACCCTAATGAAAACTGGATGGTATAAAGCTGTTAATGATAGCAAGAAATCTTTAAATACATTTAGTAGAAATTAGTAAAAGTCAATATACTTTATTCATTTGAAATGATCCATTTCACATCAGGTTAGTTATTAATTTATGTGCCACAAATGAAGACATATGAAGTTAAGTAAATTATGTCAAAAGTTTGGAACTCGTTTTTCAAAGATAGTAGATTATTTGTGGTCTATAGATAATATAGATGGTTAACGTGCACCACAAATCAATGTTCATTCATACATACAAAAAAATTCTGTTTACTGGGAAAATAGAAATGCCCACTACTATGACTATTTGATTGTAAGGGACAAAAACCAATACAAAAACAATAATTTCTGATTAAAAGAATGTGATTAATCTTCTGATTTATCACTACTTTTATTTCTTGATGAATTGCTTTTGATAGTTTCAATAACAAAAAATTAGACATTTTTAGCAATTTTGGTGGAATTAAAAAGCCTGTTTTTGTTTGTTTGCATACAGAATGATGTTTTTCTGGGCAAAATGTTGACAGAAACTCATATTCAGTCCCAAACATTTTTTCCTGGTGATAAAATGAGTAATTAATAACAGCTTAATCACTTTGTTTACATAAATGACCCAAAATTATATAAACTAGACTGTGGGTTTTCCTTCTCTTCCCTCCTTTTTTTCCCTTCAGTACCCTTGATTGTTGAAGGAGAAAATTACCTAGTTTTAAGAAGCAGTTACTCTAGTGCTTTTTGTATGGCTAATACTCTCCCAGTTCTAATTCACGCATTCTTCAATAAGCATAGCACAATTACTCCTCTAAAGAATTTAGTGAGGAATGAGTGCGAGTAAATTGCCAGGGCTGTCATTTGGATCACTAACTCCCATCTTGGTTTTGCAGGACTCTAAACCCTTCAGAATTTCAATGTGGAACGCAATTGATTTGTACTGAGTTGACTTTGCAAATCTGATGGGTTATAACTGCTTCAGGGAAAAGGGGAACCACAGGAAATGAGAGCAAGCCAGCAAGCATGTGAATAACCTTTGCCCTCCCATCTCCTTACCCCATCATGCAAATTAACATATGACAAACCACATTATATAAACAATTGGAAAGAGCCAAAAGGGAAACGAAAGAGAGCATTAAAAAGCTTCACAAATGGAAATTTGCCCATTACTTAGTTATTTGATATTCAGAGTAGGCAAGCTGATTAGCTGTAGCCAGTTAGAATGTGACATTAATTGCCAGCTTTACCTGATATTGTCAGACATCAACACTATTTTTAAATAAAGATACAAAGTATTGCTATAACAAGTCATGTTATGGATATGTAACATTAACAGAAATTACTATTTCTACTACATTATGATAACAATAGCTGGCAGCAATATTCATTAATTGTATCCAGTAATAACACATGGAAATCACAGCATGCCCAGATTACTTAGGCGGCTGTGGATTATTTTCTATTGGGGGCTTAATTGTGATCCTATCACGGGCATAAGTGACAAAAATAACTCCTTTATGCTCAGCATAAAAAAAGCTTTAATAATTTAAACCTAATAGATAAAACTGTACCTGTTGGCTGAAGATGAAATTGCAGAAAAAATTGTACTTGCCAGATAAAATATTTGGCTTTTCTATGTTGAACAATTATTATTTTAAAAATTTCTAAAATCTTGATGAGTGAGATTCTTACCCCAGTAAGACACAGAAGAACCAAACATATTAAAAGATCATTCTCCAAAGTCATTTTTCATTCTAAAAGGGGAATGTTCTTTTAATGAATTCCATAGAGGAAAATTAGTCTGTCGTCAAATTCTTGCTTTTTTAAATAGTGAGACTATCATGAAATTCAAGACCCTAAAATACATTTCAATCATTGAGCATCTCCACTACACTGTGACATTCAGGAAACACATGTCATTTGATGGTAGCAATTCTAATATTTTTTCACTATGGGGTTAATTCACATGAGATATTTTGTATATACATAAATGATATTCTTTATAAATATGTAAAACACACTGAATGTTTATTTAAATAAAATGCTTACTTTATATAAATAAAAATAAATATAAATAAAAATTAATTAAAAAAATAAAAATTCTTGATATATCTTCCCTGAAACTTAAAAAATGAATTATTTTCATTATTTATAACTCAAATTTGCCGAGATACATTTAAACTTTTTAAATTTTAATGGTAGCAACGCAAAATCTGAGTAATTTAAAAATCGAAGGAAGTAAAAATTAAAACTTAATTACTTGTCCCATGAGCTTTTTAAAAGTAAATTAATTAGGTTAAATTATCTTATTTAAAAAATATCTATAATGCATTATTAATTTCCTCTCATTGCTATCTTCTACATTTCTACTTATTGATTAGACACTTGTTTTATCATCAATTGTTTTCATATAAAGGTTTAAAAGGAAAAAAGGAAAAACAAAATAAATTGCATTTATCCATGTTAACCCTATCAGAATTTAGCATACAAAACAGAGTAACTGCTATAGAAAATAGGATTGTAAATTCAAAATGTATACGGACAGATTATCATTTATTGTTTCTTTAGATTAAAAGATAAATGGTTCTATTATTATAATAAAATAGCAAAGCAAATTGAATGTAATTATAATATAACTGGTTATTCTCTTTAGAACGATCTGAGTCCACAGAAGGAAGAAAAATTAGGTGGGGAAGTCTTAATGATTTTACTAGAACTTTAAAGATATACATAACTGAGTTCCTTACCTTGTTTAAACTGCGGGCAGCACTATCTTTTCCACCTGGGGTCAAGTTCCGGAGCTGCACATCTAGGAGCCCTACCAGCTGATCCATGGCACGGACTGAGTAGGTGATGTCCCCAGCATTCAAATGATTCCTTGTCTGTTCAGCCAGCTCTCTAGCAATGTTGGCAGCTGTCTCTCCAGATTTCAACTACAAGTTTGAAACATAATACAAAGGAAAGAGGTCTTACATAATACTTTTATTGGTCTCTTTGACAATTGTTTTTGCATGTAAGTTTTAATCACTGAGGCAAGAAATAGTTATCAAACTCCATCTTCACTTAGAATGTGCTCCCCATTTTTTCCTGCTAATTCATCTTCTTCTTCAAAACCTGACTTTAAATCCATGTCTGCAGAAAGTTCCTCCTGAGAAATCTTGTTTCTAAGAATTATTCTCACTTTAATTATCCATTTGGATGGTTAAGTCTAAGGTTTGCCCTATTATTTTCTCTGTGAGTTTCTAAATTGGACTTTGATGAGTGTGTATTGTGAGTCCCCAACCATATTCTAAGCTCTCAGAGGCAAATACAAATTTTGCTTTGTGCCTAGTTTAGAACTTGGTTCACAATAAATACTCACCAGTTGCTAAGCTCTGTGAAAATTTTACGTCAAATAAAATCGCTGCTTTTCAAAGTGACTTTCATCTTAATAACTACATAATAAGAAATTTTGCTCCCAAAACACTATTGCTTACTTTCTATCATTTTCCTTTTCTGAAACTGCACGCTGATTTTTCAAGTATATTCTACACAAGTATATCAAATTGTCAACACTCCAAAGATGTTAAAAGCGAGAAAGACTAATACCCCATGATGACTTGAACAAATTTGATAGCTGTTGGGAAAATAGAATAGTTTCATCAGGGCCCTGGCCTCAGGTCCAGCTGGGTGTGGTTCGGCATCCTTTGTAAGCAAATTGTGTGTGTGTGTGTAGTTAGTGTACATGTGCACCAATGTATCTTTTTAGTTTTGTTGCTATTCTTGTGTTCTTCTGAAGAGAGACAGTAGAGAGCAGAAAGAGAGAGAGGGAGAAAAAGAGAGTAGAGAGAGGAGTTTTAGTGAAGCAGGAAGGCGGGCGTCTGCCTCAGGCACCAGCCCCGTGCAGCCATGCTTTCCAACCTATGGCTTCCAAGGACCTTTTGGCTGGTTACCTGGCTCATAGATCTGCATGTAAGGGGTCTGGGGACCCAGCCTGGCATGTGAAGGATTTGTGACACAGTCTGTGAATGGGCTTGAGGGGTCTGGGAGCTCCAGATCCAGCCCTTGCTCAACCATCGGCCCAGTCGGTGGAGGATTACCAGCAGGTAAAAGAGCCGACAACTGACATGGTCGCCTAGCTTTACAATTGGCGTCACAAACAGAATCAAGAGCTAGACAATTGGCGCTGTGAGGATTCCAGGCCTTAGCCTAGCCAGACAATAGCCCTGGGTAATAAGAAGATAGGAATACTATATATATATATATTCATTTGTAAGTAAGGCAAGGGAAACAAGAAAAAAAGGTACATAACAGTAATTTTCCAAGTTATAAATATTCTTTATCATTTTTAAGTTAAACTAAAACAGGATTATAACACATTTACACAATATAGATAACAGTGTGCAATGTAAAAATAATGAATATCTCTTCTTTTGCCTCTAAATATCTCTTTCCAGAGATTGTTAATGATTTGATGTGTAGCTTTGCAAACTTTAGTCTGCTCCACAACTATTTAAATACAGATGGTTCCCAATTTTTGATGGTTCCACTTTATAATGGTACCCATACAACCATTCTGGTTTCCACTTTCAGTTGAGTATTCAATAAATCGCATGACATATTCAACACTTTGTCATAAAATAGGTTTTGTGTTAGGAGATTTTGCCTAACTGTAGGCTAATGTGCTCTAAGCACAAGAACGTTTAAGGAAGGCTATGCTGAGCTATGATGTTCAGTAAATTAGGTGTATTAAATGCATTTTAGACTTAATGGTATTTTCAACCCCAATGGGTTTATTGGGATGTAAGCCCACTGTAGTTTGAGGAGTATTTGGGAGCATCTGGATATAGTGTCATTGTTTATGAAATGGTTTTATTTCTTTTTTTCTTTTTTTTAAGGCAGTTCAATATAGAACACTGTGTCGCAAAGATTCTCTTTGTAAGCTGTGTCCCTACTGGGTATTCAGAAAGCTACAAGGAGCACAGCTATAACTCTTAGTCAAAGAGATTTTTGCTATCTACTCAGGGATGCTTAATGTTTATAGCAGAATTGAATGTTAAAGAAACCAACAAATAAATCGGAGTGATTGAAACACTTAAATTATTTACAATCATATTTTCAGGTATACAGAAAAAGTCTAACTCTAAAAAGAGTAAAAAAAAAAAGTTTAATAATATCAAGTGCTGGCAAGGGTTTGTGGAAATGAATATTACCCCCATAACCTATTACTGGTAATGTATATTTGCATAGCCCCTATGTAGAGCTAATTACCAGTGTCTGTTAAACTTCGACATGTGAAGACTGTGCAACCCAGAAATTTTCCTAATTAGTATCACCATAGAAAATAATCCCACAGATATACAAGTAGAAATGTTCAAAGATGCTCATTTCAACTTGTTTATGACAGAAAACAAAATGAGTTATGACTATATAGAACTGCTCAAGTTTATGCATACCATGTAACAGTATGCAATAGTTTAAAGGATGAAGGAAATCAATATTGTTAACATCAATCTTCAGGATGTATATTGTTGAGTTAAAATAAATGCAAGTATAAAAATTATTTATATGTATATACTAATATATATTTGCATTCTATTTGAGAAATATAACCACACTACATAAGTAGTATATAATCATGTTACTTATGAAAAATAAATATACAATATTTTTGTGTTTATTTTTATATAGGTGTACATCTATATATTTAAACACATAAAACAAAGCCTGAAAAGTGAGAATCAAAAACTAAATCCTCATCTGTAATGTTAAAATTTTACAAGAAGAATGTGTTAAAGCATTATTACATAGTTAATTCGTACTTTTTAGAAATTCATATAATAGAAAACACCTGAACTGAGTTTAAGAAATTTGTAAACTATGATCAGGGTCTTCGTACTTAAAATAGCTGTAAGACTGAATGGCATACATTACAGGGTTCAAGTTTAAGTAGGTAAAAAATTCAATGTAGATCAAAGTAGCATTCACACCCACTGGTGAGTCATGAAAGTATTTTTATGTGGTCACAAAGTGAAATAAATATGATTATAATCCATATACTCAAATTTCTACATATAATTTAGGGCTAATTATTGATTATCTAGTAAGTCAATTAACAGATACTAAAATTCAATATTCATTGACTTGGTGAGAGGCTAGTATATTCTAAATATACAAATTCACTATTCCATCAGTAAGTGTAAATACTTGATACAACTGATTGGTAACTTTGCAAAACTCCTACTGGGAGCATAAGTATCCAAATAGCTGGAATTCCTATAATTTTCCAAAGGGATATTCTTTTAATTAATGCACCATTCATAGTGTCTTGCATTTGTTATGGTTTCCTACCTATTTTATTCCTGTAATAATGAATATATTTGTAGAATTACTATTGTCTTATTTTGTTAATCATTATGTTCTTATGTAATATATTGCTTCTTTCTATTTCTTTGTTACCACATATTGCTTTTTCCATCAGAAAAAAAATCAGGGCAGTCGGACTTCTGGGGTTTTTTGACTCACTTAAATGTACTATGATAAAAAAAAGTTTGAGATCTATTATCCAAATATTGCCACCTGCATAGCATGAACTGTTTATGTGTATGTGTTAAATATGCAATACATATTGTTTTTTTAAAAAGTAGGACAGATATATCTCTCTATCTACGTAGCTTCTTTACATCTACCTATCTATAATTCCAACTGATTCATTCAGCCTATATGTTCATTTGTTCATTAACCAACATTTAAATTTCTATAGCACTGTGCTAAGGTCTGGGGACACAGTGGTAAGTAAAATGGTTTCTAGTTAACAAGGAGCTTACTTATTAGCAATGGAAAAAGTTGTTAAACATTTAACTGTATAATTATTTAATTTTAATTTTGAGTGCAATATAGAATCCCAGTGTGGTAGAGTAGTTTAAAGGTATTTTAACCTGGTGTAAGAAATTAGGAAATACTTTAGGAAGTGCTTCTCTGAGGAAGAAATTTAATTTGAGATGGAATGAAAAAGAAGGAATTGGATGGATGTGAGTGGGGCTTCCAGGTAGAGAGAACACCTTTTAGGATTGAAGGGCATGAAGTCTTAGGGGAACTGCACAGAGGGCACTGTACCTGGAGGTTAGACAGCTGGAGAGGTGAGAAAGGAGCAGATTAAGTAGTCCCCATTAGGAAGTTCTGAGGAAGATTTTGGGAACTGTGCTAAAAACAATGGGAAGGTACTAAAGAGTTTACATAGGAGCAGTCTAATCAAGTTTACATTTGAAATCAAAATCAGGAGAACATATTAGAAGGCTCAGGAGTAAATGAAAGGAGACCTGGGGTGAGTAGAAGTTGCTATGAATTAATGTAGCAGAAGTAGAGAAAAGTGACAAGCAGTGGCCTGACTTGAGAGCGATTTACGAGTACACCTGACAGGCTTAGTGTGTGAGGGAATGGAAACCATCCCGGGGTTTCTAGGTAACATGACTCAGTGATGGTGCTGTTGGGACTCTTCCACAACCACTGCAGCCTCAACTCCACGCCATAGCCACATTTCCCAATGGGCCTTTACTGACCACGTTCTCTCCAGGGGCATCTGAAGTGATTCTCTTTCTGATCCCTTATTTATATCTCTCACTCCAGTTATTATGGACTGCAATGATCTTATTTCCATACAAAACCATACATATATCTTGAATCTGCCTCAAGTTTTCTGTGCACAGAGGTGGGACTGAAAGTATAAATGTGTTTATACTTTCATTAAAATGTATACCTCTAACATTTCTTTTACTAAGTTCTACAAAAATTATTTCTCAGAAATAAGCAAATACACAGAGAAATTTTATCAGTTTTGTGAGGAGTAGTAAATTAATGCCTGTATTGATAGGGTAGGATTATATCTAGAACTTGAATAGGGGAAGGGAAACCCTGAAGCTTTAGTTAAGGATAATAATTATGACAGAGATAGATACTATTTATGTTTTAAATTTTGACACAGTGAAAACAATCTTCTTTGAAATCAGCTTTGATATTTTATGAGCTTTATTATGTCAACCATTAATCAGGGGCCAAAACATTTCATGAAGGAATTACAGTGGTTTAGTACACAGCTACATAGCTACCATTTCTTTGAAAGATCTACCTTTTATTATACAACTGAGTAAAGCTGGCATTTAAATAATAAAATGATTCTATCTTACATCTGGAGGCAGATTAAATAAGTCTAAAGTCTTAGAAACCCCACCAGTCTCTGATAAAATTAGGAAGCAATTTACTTTCATTCCACACTAGATCTGAAGAAGTTAAAATGATGAAATTAAGATGCAGGACAGAGATTCATCCTAGTCTTCTAGGGCAAATAACTGGCTTATTTTATATTGTAAAATAGCAATATCATTTCTAGATCTTCCCATCCTTTTTTAGAAAATACAGGAATAATCTCGCATTATCTCAAAGTCTGTCAGTAGCTTGTATAAAAACAAAAGCAAAGGCACTTCAGTTTGCTAGAAACTATTCTCACTGACAATTCAGGCAATTCTTTTTCACATAATAGTTGCACTGGGTAATGGAGTAGGAAGCAGACCTCACTTTGCATGTAAATAATAAGGAAGCTCTTCAGAATTGTAATATCACCAAATTTAAATGGAAAAAAAAAAAGACTGGTGAGATTACAATGTACAATAAATTCTTTAAAGGTATGCAAAATAGAGGATACAACTCCTTTTTGAGAAATACAGTCTAAGCTAGAGATCAAGCTGAAGCCAGAGAATATGATTTTATAGTAGTCAAGAAGAAAGGTGAGAAAACAGGATTATTTTGCCACATGTTCCATGAGGCAGGGCTCTGAGCTAACTTGTTGGCTTTCAATAAAAATTGGAAACTTTTTAAAACATTAATTTGAAGACATATATCTATCTCTCTACATATCTAGTTATCTTTCTATTTTTCCATCCATCCATCTACCCTTCCACCAACCCACCTACCAACATTTCTTTTTCTGTCCCCCTCAATCTCAGTCAGAAATCATCACAACTCTCCCTGTGTTCTCTCTCCTAGCCTGAATGCTGAGGGGAAAAACATAATTAATTTTTAAAGAGAAATGCAGATGTAAAATTTGCTTTTTCAAACTAAAGCAAGCATCCCAATTCATTTACTGAGGACTATGTTGGGTACCTTCCACTTGCTAATTCAGGGCCACTCTGCACCCTCCTCCATTCTGCTTTCTGCCCTAGCAGATGGACTTACGTGGAAGACATTAAGAGCACCCTTCTTCTCTGGCTTCCAGCTGAGTTTGTCCACTGGGGTGGCTGGACAGGTGAATGGAGGGAGAAGGGTGAGTGAGGTCAGGGTATTGATTCCCTTAGATCCCTCTCTGAAAGGCTGCCTGAAGTTAGGTTGAGTCCCTGTCTATGTCATCTTTCCTCTCAAGGACACTCCATTTCCAGTTTTTGGTCACTCCTTTGATGTGATCTCCTACAGGCCTGGGTTGGGAACAGCTCCTCTCCTGTTACTAGCTCTGGGTTCCTGCTCAATTTCTTGCAGTGTGCCTTTGCTGCACCCATATAAAGAAACCCTCCTCAAATGTCCCACCGGTGTTGGGACTCTGGTACTGAGTGAGGGATGAGGGAGGAAATGAATTCTGTGGAAGACGCTTTAGGAAGGAGGGAGAGAAAATATGGATGAATAACTGTGAATACTGTGTACAGAGTATCAATTGAATGTTTATAATACCAATATTTAAAGGTGTTAGGACTAGTCTCAATATAAAAATTAAAATTAAAAAGATGTGAAGTTTTGTGGTAAAGAAACCTGTTCAACTATCATTTATATTCAATCAGTAGCATAGATATTTGCAGGTATAAGGGACATGACCAGGTAAAGATTGGACAGAGTGAAGAGAGAGAGAGAGCCTAGGTGAGGGAGTGGAAGGATGTGAAGCCAATCAAAATCGACTTGCAGCATAACCAGTGTTGTGGCTAAGCATGATGTCATGATGAAAGGAGAGCCAGCCAAAACACCAGCTCCACCACTGACCTTCAGCCAGTTACATAAGCTGATGCAGTGTGCTCAAAAGCTTCCTGTTATACTTTTGAAGATTTTATAAATTTATGAGTAATCGATCGAAGATATTGCTGTAAGTTCCGATTGCCTAAATTCTTTAATTTTAATATAATTATAACATAATTTTATAGACTACAGAGTTAAACAAAAATGCCCTAGAAGAATATGATATATTTATTACAAAATAAAAACATCCCATCAATAAATCAAACAGGCAACAGCTGTCTGGTATTTGAAAGGAATTATCTCTTTTGTCCTAAGATTAGCAGGGCTGCAGAGGAAAGAAAAGAATTAAGCATCATTATCAGTCAAAGTTACCCAGTAATTTCTGCAATGAAATAGTCCAACTATAGTCAGGAATTATCATGAAAACACTCAGCTTTCTAGATGAGTTATTATTAAATTTAAATTAACCCCCAGGCTGAGTATCTAGGGAATATTTTTTAAAAGTTGCTAATGTAAGGAGATATGCTACTGATCTCTTAATCCGATCACATCTAGCAAGACTTATTTGCCCTGGGGTCTGAGCTACATTGTAATAAAATCGAAGGACATAAAAACTGTGGCAGGAACAGTGCTGAAATTGGAGAAGCATCATTGTGAATAGCAACAAGTTTAGAGATGCATATGTAAGAGGGTAACTAGAGTCAATATAACCACTATTCTTCCATGATTTAGGGTAAATAGATAGTTATGGCTCATCTGCTAAATGATCTACTGGGTAGATATTTATGGATTATTGTACAGTATCTTATTGTGGATAAGCCTGGCTTAAAACAAATTTAAAAAAAAGAGCAAATGGCATAGGCAGGCTTTTAGTAAGGCCATCATTTGTAATATCTCTCAGGAAGAATCTCTTTCAGAAATTCCTCAGCATAGCTAATGTGCCATAGAAGGACTCTCCATTTTAGGAGTGCATAAATCCACATAAATTGCTATAATAAGGATTCATCCCATAGCCCTTTTGGCATAAATACACATCTGGTCTCTGTTTGTAATGAAATCAATTCAAAGCCCCACTGTGCATTAATAATAAAAACATTCAACATATTACAACCAAATAAGCCCTGTAAATTTGAGTCTGCAAGATTTTGTCACACGTGTATACTTTTAGCACTGACAAATGATTAGGTTACAAGATTTCAAAGACAGACCTTTAAATTGTTTTATTATTTTCACAGGAAAATTCATATGTATTTATGTTAGAAGCTTTTGTTTGCTTGATTCATAATGCCTGTTGTACCTGTAGTTCACAATATGATAGAAATTTTATTAATAACAAAATTATTATAAGCAATACTGTCTGGTTTAGAGGAAGTTCATGGATTTGCACTTTAAAAACAACAATTTCTAGAATTAGCTCATAGCATATTACGGGTTTTCATTAAATCCAAAATGAAATGAAAGTGGCAGGATTTTTCCACACTAATTCTTTTAAAAAATCTTAACAGCTTTGTTTTCAGCAGTTAAAATCAACAACAGAGGATATGGATTTAACAAAGACTTCCTTGTCAGTCACAAGATTTACCTTCTGGGTTATATGATTGACCCAAGGAGAAGAGCAGTTGCTGAGATCTGGTCCTTGGGGATCCCAAATTCCATCAGGAGCAAGGCACAGATAAGTTGATACACCTATAGTAATGAGAGAAATGCATCTGTTTCAAATACTCAAATCATTTTTCTTTCAATGACTCCACATCCATGCTGCATTTAAATATGAGCAAAGATAAAAATGAGATAATTACATTGACATAATAATGTCTATTAAAACGCCAGATACAGTGCCTGGCAATCTATTGGCATTAGAGAAATGTAGTACAACAAACAAAAATATTCAATATTTTTAAAGCCTTTACTGGCAACTACACTAGGTATGGGGAATAATCCTATGAATTAGATAAATGTGGTTCCTGCCTCTGTGAGCTAATTGCTTCAGTTTGCAGAGAAAAGGTAGCAGTTGCGTCTTAAAGGAATCAGTGTTCAGGTTTTTCAGGAAAACAAGGTGGGAAAGACATTCCAAGTGTGTTTGGGAAACTTCGCGTTTTTTGAACTAGGGTTTACTGGATGGGGGAGTTGTATTGAATGGAGCTGGAAAGGTGGGAAAAGCCAGATAATAAACTCCCCCATCTATCATATGTGGGTGCTGAAAAATCACTGAAGAACATGAAGCAGAGAAGAAAAATGAGATTTAGGTTTTAGAAAGGTAAATGGAGGCACGAAGGATGAATTTGAGGGAGTGATGTGGAGGTTGTGAGGAAGCTCCTGCAATAGCTCAAGTGAAAGACTGCAAGGGCCTGGACAAAGCTAACAGAATGGACAGAGAAGGGTCAAGTAAGATTGACGTGTATTGACAGTAACCGCGAGGGTTTCAGAAAGATTCCTTTAAATCTCTTTCCCAATTTTCACAGAACAATAACAAAATATCTTTGTAGTGTAAAGTGCTTTCAAATAAAGTACAGTATTTCACTCGTCTTTATAACACATATCTGAAGTAGAGGGGTTGCTATTACTCTTTTAGAGATAAAGGCACTGAGGCCCAGAACTAAGAAGACAGAGCTAAGCAAGACAGAGGTCTCAATATGTTTTCTAATTCCAATACCACAGAAACTTCGGAAGCAATATCTTTCCCCCTTTTCATAAAGGTAAAGACGATTTCTGAATATTTTAAAGCATTTTCCTAAAAAAAAAAAAAGTACATTTTATAAAAACCAAGAAAGTGAAACTCTCTTTTGTTAAATTTTAGATAGTTTCAGTGATCATCTCCTAATATAGAAGTACCCAACCTCATTTTCTGCAATTGATATTTGATGGTTGGTGACAAGCATGAGAGCAATCAAGTGATCCACTCTGGGCTGCTGGACAAAAGAGCTGACACCTACAGACTGTCACTTGACCCAGAGACATGACATTAAGTGTGAAAACTACTGACCTCACATATTCCCACCAAATTCTCACCTGTGACCTCTTTGCATTTTTAAATTCTGAAAATATATTGCTTTAAGTTGTAATTTAGCTGTGTTCAGAATTCAATTAAATGTGAGCAACAAAATATGTAGTAACCAAAGGAAAAGAAAAGAGAAGGAGAGAAAAGAAAAGAACTCCAGCAAATCAAGCCAAAGTAGCAGAACACCTTCAGCTTAGCTCTTTAGAACAGACTTACCTATAGTTCCAGCAGGGCAAGGCTGCTTTGCTATCTGTCCTTGGCGGGTCTTAAACCACATGATTTCTCGGGCTTCCACAGCCTCGCAGCTCTCTTCCAGAGCTGGGATTTGGGATGATGCTGACGGGAGGTGTGTGGTGATATCGTCAAGCACCTCGACAGCCGGAGATGGGGTGCTGGTACTTCGGTTTTTTCTTCCTGATACTGATGGGGTAGTACTCCTTCCTGGGCTCCAAGTTGTGGTCCGAAGGGTGGTACTGGTGGTCGTGCTTCCCATGCCAAGAGGTCCTGTGGTAGAGATTTCTGAAATAAAATTCAAAAGAAAACACCTACATTGCCTGTATACAGTAGGACCTCATGATGTGCTGCCCTAATATTTTAGAAACCATTTTTATTTGATAGATCAAAGAGTGTTAAAGCTCTGGAAGTCCTCGACCTCATTTTCATTTTAAATATGACAAAAAAGAAGCCAAGACCTAAGTATCAGAGTGCCACTTGAGTACCAAAACAGCTATCTGACCAGTGCCAAACATGGGCTTTTTTACGGTTCTTCACAACTCAAATCACAGCAACAAAATTACAGCACAACATATCTCTTCAGTAAGCTTCTTAATGATCTCAGCCTTTTGGGCAATTAATCAGAGTATTAAAACTTTAAGCCCTCTCCTTAGAATTTTCAAATTTGGTATAAAAGAGCTATATAAAATACGCTTTTCACATCAAGGATAATATGGGTTTCTAAATATGCAGCAAATAGGAGAGAGGCCAAAAAAGAAAAAAAAAAAAAAAGAGGAAACAAATTAAAATGCTCACAAGTTAAAAAATAAAGAGAAATTCTAAATACAGTCTCCTTAACACAAATTAGAGCAGCTTAGTGATCTACCCTGATGCTCTCAGAACTGACCCACCTTAACAAAATTTTCAAACTTGACATTTACTAATATAAAGTACAGGTAGTTTCCAGTAGTTATGTCTCTAAATTATTGTCTAACAAGATTTTTTAAAATGTGAAAATGTATTGCAAGTTCCAAATAAAAGTAGTAAGCTTCCTTGGCCAGATATTAACAGGTAATTAAATATATAATGTATTCAAGGAATATCCTAATAATACTATGGAAATAATCACTGCAGAGAATCATCTTTCTGGGAAAATATATTCATATTCTCATCAGATCAGTCCTCCACATACTTGTACATACACTGCACTCCTAGCCATAAGATTTGAAACTACTCTTAACCACACTTACTGGCAAAAATCTGTAGGCAGCAGACTGAGACTGACTCAAGATAACTCAGGTTTGAGGAGCTGTAGGGGGTCGTGAGATGCACCTCCAGCCCTCCGTCATTCATTGTCTATTTCCTTTAAAATATCAACTCTCTGCTGCCTCAGAAGGGCTCCCAAATTCATCCTGGTATATTTGGTATATATGTAAAGCTTCCAAAAAACAGGGTAGAGGTGGCCAGGGGAGGGGTATTAACTTTTTGAATATTTAATGATTAAAACTGTAGCATTTCCTGATGCTATTTGCTGTCTTCTTGCTCTTTCTTCTGTTTTCCCTCCCTCTCTTCTCAGCTTTAGTTCTCTTTGTCTTGTGGTTCCTCTCAATGTGAATGGTAATGTTCATAACTATGTCTACTCAAAGTCCATAGGAGAAGGCACAGTACCATTTTTTTCTCTTCTTCCACATACAATATGTCCCCCAATTGCCAAATCTTGTTGATTCTATCTCATTTCTCTATTTGAAATCCATCAGTTTTTTTTTCTTTCTCCCCAAATGATCACCATCTACCTTCAGCCCACCATCTTCAATGAGACAGATGCAAGAGCCTTTTAATTTCTTTGCTAATGAAAATAGTACCAGAGTAAAATGGTAATACTGCTATTTCAATATTTATGTTTTCAAAATAAAAACTCTGGATTCATAAAATAGAGGTTATTAACACTATACATTTAATACAATTCCAACACAAAATTTTTTTTTTTTTTTTTTTTTTTTTTTTCTTTTATCTTTTTCCGTGTCCGGCAACGGATTGCAACCCTCAGTGTTGCCCCCGTACCGGACCGGGGACCGGCAACGGGATTGCAACCCTCGGTGCTGCTCCCGCGCCTCGCTCAGCCAGTGAGCGGGAACCGGTCTGTACGTGGGATCCGAACCCTCGGGCGGGAGCGCCACCGCGCTTCCCAAGCGGCACACTTATCCAGTGCGCCACTGGGCCGGCCCCCAACACAAAATTTAACAACATATTTCAAAATGTTAAGTAAAATTTAATGCTTAAAATTATGAACAATAAAATATGACTCTAATATATAAAATTGCGCTTGAAATTAATGAAGTGTTTCAAAAAGAAAATACTACCTAAAATTAAGAAAATGTAATAACTTGAAAATTAAACATTTGGCACTATTAAATACTAGTTTTAAAAAATGTGTCAATGGTGTCATTGTTGTGATGTAAGAAGATTTTGTGTAAATTTTTCTGGCTGACAGAAAAAAAAATTTTTGACTTCATACCACTTGGGGAAGTAGTAAGGCAATAGTTAAAAGCTCCAAGTATTTTCTTTGACTCCTTCAATTTAAATAATGCCAGCTCTCATTTGTACTTTTGAAAGGACTACTTTGAGTAACTTTTAATTTTTTTACAGGGACTATAATTTTTTCATTGATAATGAGCTTTTGTTTCAAACAAAGCATTGCTAGGTCTTCTTTGTTTTTTTTAGTTTGATCATGTAAAAATGGAGATTCATCACAGTTACCTGTTATTAGTTAAATAATATCATGCTCAAATTAACTTGTTCAGAAAGCCTCTGAACTGTAGTAAAAATTAATTTTAGAAAAGAAGTTCTGTTTCTCAGTTTTCTTCTTCCTCGAGAATTAGGTTGGCACTGAAGAATGCTTTCTAAACGAATGTATGTTTCTTCAGTTAGATACTTTAATTAGCATATGACACTCTAGGAGGAGAAAATGTTTGTTTGGCAATCCTTTTTCCTATGATAAAACCACACAGTTGCACTAAACCCCTTTTCTTTATGCCCAGAGCCCTTCATAAGTTTATCTCTCTGGCTCATTTATAATGCTTCCTCATCTTCTAACTCTACTCTTTGAACCATTCAAGTTACCAGTAGTTCCCCAACTGCTCTCTGGCTTTCTGTCTCAGGGCCTTTGCACATGCTGCAAAGTGTTCCTACCCCCATTTACATCTGGCTAACTGCTATCTATCCTTTGAGGCTTACCTTGGATGCCATTTCTATCAAGCAGCCTTTCCAAATTTACCAAGACTGGGCTATATACTAACATGTGTTTTGTTAAGATTATTTCTCCAGCTTTTAGTATTGTGCCTGGACAATAGAAAATAAGCTCTGAGTAAAGATCGATGAGCATCAGGGACTGGTCAAGGAAGCAGTGAAGGGTACAGTATCACAAAAGAAGGAAAAGGATAGTTAGAGGAAAGTAGCAAATGGGATAGCTAAGAGTTCCTACAGTTAACAGACTGGAAAATTTATTTTATAAATGTGTTTTATGTCATCATTAAGAAAACTACTAAACAAAGAGGAAATAACAGGAAGAGTATAAAGCCCCCTTTCCCCCCAAATGACCCTATCTCAGAACAATAATATTTAAAGTGAATATAGTCTCATGAAGCAATAACACTGATAAAAGTTTTTTTAAAAGTTCAATTTGTTATAAACTACATTGGAAGAACTTATTTTAATACAGAAACACTAATGTTAAGCATCAATATAGAATTTATTTCCTTGGAACTGTGCCGCAGAGATATGTCTACAAGCAGGGTCATATCATTCCATTTCACTTTAAGCAGAATAAAAGTCAATTTAAAAGCTGTCCCCGATTCCCTATTTCCTCCCTTCCATTTACTGCTATGTAAGACTCCCAAGGGCTCGGGACTTTAAGATGGCGACGGGTCCGGAGCGGGAGTGCCAGAAGACAGCGTGAGCCTGAGAAGTGTGCGCTGTGCTGCCAGAGTACTATTTGCATTTCCAAGAGCAACAAAAAAAGAATAAATCATTGATCAACTAATCTACAATGACAAAAAAGCAACTACAGATTCGAGGTTTCAGGGCCGACACAAAAGAAGATTCCTGAGAGTGCCCAAGCCGCACAGCGGGACCGAGTGAGCAGCTCGAGGCAACAAAGGCCAAGAAAGACGGAAGCAACGACTCAGAAACGGAGAGGAAGGCGCTGGATCAGCCCAGCTCTGTGAGCTCTGTGAGTGACCCCCAGCCCAGCCCCGCTTGTGGGGCAGACGCCTGTCCGGCTCCCGCCTACCACACCAGGCTAGGTACCGGCACCAGCGCTGCCTCCATTTTCTCGGGTGGGGGTGGAGCTGGCCGGCTCAGATCGGCCAGGCCTGCCCTCCTCACTTGGTGCGGCTCTTCACTGAGCCGTGCCACTTGTGTGCCTCGGCGCAGGGCCCACCGGGGCCTGCGGACCAGCCTACAATCCCACTCCCCACACAGATCTCTGGCAGGACTGGTGGCGGGGGGAGCCTCCGGCCAGCGTCGACAAGGCAGGGTAGAGGAGCCCGCCCAGATTGTGACTCCACCACACCCTGGGCTTCGGCCCCAGGTAAACTTCCTGTTTCCAGGAGGCAGATACCATCTCTGTGGCCATCAGTTCGGAAGAACCCCAAACTGATTTCTGGTTGGGAGAGGTGAGGCCGGAGCGCTCTCGAGCTCACTTGAACCTGCCGGAGAGCTGACTGCCGGCGGGCGCCGAAGTCGGCCTGTGCTGGGGGGATTCAAAAAGGAACTGTGTGCTGTGGAATCCTCCCCCAAGGAGCTCACACCCTGGTGTCGGAGATAACTCAACTACACAATAACCGCAATACCAGGAGGAAAGTGAGAAGCCCAGAGAAAGCCTTATCCAGAGCCACAAAAGCACCCAGAGTGTCCCTACCAGAAACCTGAAAGTCTTCCTGGGCGGGGCGGGGCATAGCACAGGCTTGAAGTCCCAGCTGATAGACGAGGATTGCAGAAGACATGCCCCAGCCCTGTACTGAGCACACAGAGTGGGGAGGGGTCCGGCAAAGGAGGCGGAGTCTCTGCAAAAAACTACACACCCTGCGGGCTGCCTCTGCAAGGTCCAACAGCCCCACCTAGTGCACACAGAGTGGGGAAACGCCTGGATAGCGAGGTGGAGACTCTGCAGAACACACATACCCTGTGGGGCTGGCAGGGCGGGATCCAGCAGCCAGGACCAGAACACACGGAACAGGGAGAACTACAAGGGAAGTGGAAGATCAAAAGAGTCCACACACCCTGCGGTACCGTCCCGAGGTCCAGCA